ATATCAAAAAGAGTGTACAAAGACATAGTAAAGTTTGCTCATCACAAAAAATATTTTAAAACAATCCTAACTAAATGTTAGTGCAGAGTAGCAAAGCAAGTTCTCTATGAAATTGGCAATAAAACAGCAGATAAAAATTTGATGTGAATAAACACAAAAGAAACGTTAAAAAATAACTCAATGTCATAACAACGTGGTAACTACTGTACAAGGTAAGGAAATATAGCTTATGATTTTCCTACATGGTTTTAGACAAGTATCACTTCAGAGCACAGTGACAGTCAAAAAATGCAAGACTTAGTAACGAGTAAGAGAGGAACAGAAAATGAAAGTACCATTATGTCATGCAGAAACTGATGGTACGTCACGCAGAAATTGATGGTATACCCTTATCTTGACTAGTGCATGCAGCCGTCATCACCCTAACTCTTAAGGTACACACAAGTAGCAGAAAGATTCGGAGAATGGCACCAAGAACTAACCACAGCTTAGGATAAGTTACTATGCAAGCAGAGATCATGATTCTTCAATTTGGTGGAGGAGAGACATACAAGTGGCATGTAAAACAAAGATGCTCGTGAGGAAAAAAAAAAAATTAAGTACAACCAGTCACTACTATTCAGAACACAGGAATATAATGAAATCAGGTAAATAACAGGTCAGCATACTTAAGACAAAAACAACAGTATTTTTTGTCACAAAACACTTGTGATTACAGTTTTGGCAATAATTAAAGTCAGAAAGATTCACAACTCGCAGAGAACAAGTCCACCAATAGCTACAAGGTTGGCTCTGTCCAGGAAAGCTCCTAAGCCCCTAAGTGCTGGGCTTTGCTGGGACACTACAACAGTCAAGGTGGCGAAGTATTTGCCCTATACTTACTCTCTTTCCTTCAGCATTGCTGCTGGACAGCATCAGACCATACTGACCTGAGCAGACCTTCTGCAAGAGCTGGGAAAGGACGGGAAAGGAAGATCTCCTTTAGCCAGTCTTCCACCATCTTATTTAATTAGCCCTTAACAGGTATGTACTTCACTATCACCAAATTCCAATTCTATTTAATTGAAAACTGCTTATCTTTATGTGCCTTTGGAAATTACAGCCAATACTGGGCCAACAATTTCAATTCTTTAATTTGGTCACTCTATTGTGACCTTTAAAGGAAAACTCCAGTAGTAGGCTGCATAGAGAATTAAAAAAAAAAAAAACACCACACACACAAAAACCAAAAACCACACACAAGACAACAAGAATAAGTGGTACCTCTTGAGGTTTCAACTTTTCCATGTCTGTGGAGAGGTCTGAGCTCTTTCCATGAAGACTGCCATTTTCCTGTAAACAGACAAGTAGTAAGAAAAATCAGGACAAGAATAACATTCTGTATTGAAATTATGGGAAAAAACACTGGATTTTGAAGTTAAAGTTGAACACATAAGACAATCATAACTTATTTAAACTCCGTATGTTTGTTAATCACCACAAGGAATAACCCAGGAATGTAAAAGGCTAGGTGTATCATTTGTCCTACCTCCTGAGAAACTCTGATCTACATTCTTACAATACAGACCCACACACTCAGCTTAGCTCTTCCTCAAAGTCATCTGATCTGGCAGCATAGGAAGCAGTATCAGAACTTTATGTGTCTCATTAGCTGAAAGAAAACCGAAAAATAAAGACTGTACACCTTACCCAAAATTTATGCATGCAAGCTTGCTTTAGACTGGCAAATGAAGGCCAGTGCCTTTTCAGTAATTCCAACGCAGAAGAGAACTTCCTTCATTCTACTTTTTTGCAGAAGAACATGGCAATGGGATGAACTAACTTGTGCTTCTTAACCATTACCAATTCTATATAAAGACCGTATATATTTCTAGTGTTCCTCATTTTTGGGTGGAAAGCCCAGGAATTGAGTTTTTCTGTAAAAGGAATTCAGTTTTCTTTAAAAGGAAACTGTTGTCATCTAAATGACATCCCAGGCAACCATTCTTTATTGCTTCATGCAGGGCCTCTACAGAGAGCTGGGTTTTTTCCCCCCTCCCCCTGTCAAATTTTTAGATGCATTGAAGGCCTGGGCAAAGATGTGTGTTCATCAGCCAAACCCTCCAAGTTCTTTGGATAGCCACTTGACACGGATTCTCTACAACACCTATCCCCACCCTGTGGGACAGGCCTTCCTTATTCCTCAGTGCATGAAGATGACACACTACAGAAAACCGAGGAGAAGCACGGGATTGGTAATCTTTCAAAGCCTGGCACCGGAGGGTGACCCCTCCTAAGACAACCCAACCACCCTGGGCTCTCCGGAAGATCTAAACCTACCAGCATCCACTCCCCAGCCAGTGATCCTGCCAGGAACTGCTGCTGTACCAACGCTCCAGGACTGGGGAGCCAACAGCCCGCAGCCAAGCTGACCCCACGGAGGAACTGCACGGACAGTCCAATGTCACAGTCCGTGCCGAGACCTGCTCTTAACTGTATGTCATTTAGCAGGTTTTCCAAAAAGAACGCAAGTATAAGAAGACATTTGTAAAAATATTCAACTTACACTCACCTTCCACTAGAATTTAGGACTATTGGGGGGTTTTCTCCCCCCCATGTGATTTCTGCTACCTTTAGACATAAATAAATAAACAAACAAACAAACAAACAAATAAATCCCCTATTTAAGTGAAGAAAACTTTACCACCTCAACACTACTGGAATAAATTTATTAAAAAAAAAAAAAGGCAAAACATACAAAACATTGTCTTGGGAGACAGAGAGAAGTGAACCTGATTATTTCATTTTTAGTTTATAAGTCAAGAAAGTTTGTATGCAAGTATTCAGCCTTCTCCTGTTCTAAATTTTACACTCATGCACACACAACCATACTACAAAATCATTAAATTCAGCCATAAACACAAGTAGGGAACTAGATCTCCATGTCAGAAGTTTCAAAGTCTCTAACTTTCCAAAAAAATCAGACAGCATTAACTGACAATTCTCTAAAATTAAACATACATCATAATGTATTTATCTTGAAATAAGAAAAACCTATTAAAACAGTATGCTCCAGTTCAAACAAAAATGAACATATTTCCTTTAAAAAAAAAACAAACCCCACAACAAAAAAGTACCATCACAAGCTGTAAATAACTGGTGCTTCACAATGGACTGTCAGTATCATCTCAAATTACTAGCATGCAAGAGAAAAATCCTCTGCACTTAGCCAGCAGAGGAAGAAATACTTCAATAACATTCTGGGGACAGATTCCATCAACTCTTAACAATATATTCAGTTTGTCTGGAGTCCAACTGGCTTTAGCTGAAACTGTCCTAACATAAATTATGATTCAGCAAGAATTGTTCTCTGGGAGGATAAATGTCTTTATGTCTGTCGTTTTTTTTTTTTTTATATAAACTGTTTTAAGACCAGGTTACAATTGCTGGGGGGAGAAAGACACTTGACGTGTAAGAGTTTAACATCTCTCTTTTTCCTAAAGCCTTCCACTGGGCTCAAGACAAACCTACACTTACATTTGCTGCTCTTTATGATACACCCAAAGAGCACCAACCTCTGCCTATGATTCTGATATACCTGTGTTAGAGCACTAACATCTGTCTTTGTTATCAACTTTAGCGTATAAAGGTATAATTTGTGAGGGGTCCAGTTTTTAAACTTCCTAGTCATGATCTTCAGTAATAGTAAAAAAACCCAACCAAACAAAAAAAACACAAAAAACCCAAACAAAAACCCCAACAACAAACAAAACAACATCACACAAACAAAAAACCCAAATAACAAACAACCCAACAACATTACATTATTGGAATGTTACTTGGCTGATCCTCTAACATAAAGAAATATGTGATTAATATAGCCACATAGGCAATGAATCACAAGCTCAAATTCCAGTCAGGTCAGCTTAACTCATGATTGATTAAAATTGATCAGTAACATCATAAATGAGTGTCAAAACACCAAACACAATCAGAATACAAGTTACTTAAAGCTGCATAATTGGATTCCATTTCAAATGTAGAAAAGGCATCTAAAGGCTGGGCTTCATGCCTCCAACTCTGCAGGATGTTTTAAAAGAATGTCTCATTCCTATGTCGCACAGAAATACTTCCACAACCCATAGAGTTATTCTATCTTTTTATTATAATTTATTTACCAAAGATCAATACAAAAATTAGGACATCGTGATAAAGCCTTCCAGTGTTCTCTTCCGAAGTCAGACAGCAGTTTTAACAATATCCAGTGAGCTGGACAAGACCCTGCAGCCTACCCACTTAATTCCCCAGCCAGAGAAAGCTGCCAAGGTGCAAGAGCTAACACAGCTCTCTGGTTCAAGGGTACTGAAATCAGAACAGATTATTTAGACTAGGCCCATCAGTTATGCTGTGTACTTCTAGTAATTAATTCATTAGGTACTTAGCTCATTGGCTTTTGAGGGAGTAGATATTCATAAAAAGAAAACTGAGTAGATGAAAGTGAATGGGATTTATGAAGGGGAAAGCTTGCTTTTGACCATCGAGTTGGGTTTTAAAGAGGCAATGTTGTTTTAGGATATTAGATACCATCAAAAAACCTTGAGCTCAGTAAGCAGGATGGATGAAGCTGCAACAGGAACAGGAGGACGGATTTAAAAAGAGAAGCCTCCCTCCAGCATCATGACACAGCACATACTATAGCTGGCTAATGTTAATGGAGAGGCAAGCGTAACCAATAAATCTGTTCCTGAATAAGTAACATGACTTCTGTTTTCATTTTCTGACCATAATTCAAGTATACAGTTATGTATGGTTTATTTTCATATATTGTTAACCTATATATATTTTTAGCCTTAGAAATCTGAACCACTATTGCAGCATATCAAAGTCATTAAAGGCTCTAAAAGACCCTAATCTGTGTATTTGAAGGAGCCTACCCTTCAAAAATATTGCCAAATCATCTGCTGATTTTCACTGTACATTCCCATAAACTTTCACTTTGAATTATAATGTGGGAACCTTACCCTTGAGGATTCATACGAAGGACTTGGCTGACCGCTTGTTCCCCAGGATGTGGCACCTGTTCGCTCATCCATACCTAGCAATAAAAAGAAAAATACAGACCTATAAGAAGAGACAGAAAAAGCATAATGTTCTCTGAATCGACCTGAAAGCAAAATCATCTGCTTCCATACACTTCAAGCAAATTCATCCACTTCCATATACTTAAAGCAGTATTTCTAAAAAACTTAAACAGTTTGCTTGTTAATGAAGCTGGCTACAAAACAACCTACTCATTTGGACACCTGCAGCTCCTGAAAGCAGGAGTGTAAAAAGTCAAAGAGATTTGCCAGCCTGCAGTGTCTGCCCTATGCAATCCATGAGAAATTAGCATGAGTAGCAAAACAAGCACAACAATGTTAGCCTGGATTTTTGCACAGCCTGATTTATCCTGCATCTTAAGCACCGAATATTGCAGCACATACTGTGAAACATATACTTGTTATCTACTCTTTGCTCTCATGTCTTGCTTAAGTATTATAAAATGTGTGAAATCATTTCCCCTACTTGGTCTTTACACGACACGCGAGATATTTTAGCATATGGGGGAAAAAGCTGGACAGACTAGTTACACTTCAAAGGCTTAAAAAAAAACCCCAAACCCAAACCACACAGACTCATGGTGTCTGCCCTACTAAAACAGGAATCTTTCTAAACTCTGTAACGGTTCTTTTAGAATCAGTTCCCTTTATGCAAATCCAGGTTACAACTCAAAAGAGAAAGGGGAAGGGAAAAATAGAGAGATCTTTAAACTCAGTATCAGAATATATATCCCAGGTATTACCTAGCCAACAATATTGTTGCCAACACTTTCTCCAATTACTTTCTATTCAAACTTAATTGGTCAAACCAAGTAACCACATTCCAAAACAACTAACTGCTGAAGTATCTGAATTCCTGTAGCCAATTCATTCATCTAGGACAACGTTACTAGGTTCCTGATTATCTGTATCACAAGATTATTTTTTTTTTTAACAGTGGAACATTTCCATCCCTAAAGTGCAGGCTTCCATGCACTTCAGCCTACAAAACACAACTCATTAGTTCCCTGTCACCCAACCTTCTCTCATAAAGAGTTTGATACAGAGCATAAATTCTTTATGTGATGTATAGCATAAACTATTTATGAAGCTCTACCATGTCAAAATTTATAAATAAGAACTAAGTGTCACAATTTATAAATAAGAGCTGAGTGTAAGTTAGTCCACACAATGATGCCTAAACCCTACCTTTATATTCCAACTCTCAAATGCTAATGCACATATCTCAGACTGGCCACGCTACAAAATGAAATGGAAGGAAAGACTGTAACTAACTGCCTACGGAGTAATAGTATTCTAATCATTATCTCCTTAAGAAATGTGTTTCATGAAGCTACAGAAGACTGTTTAGACAAAGACAGCCTGCAGAAGGCATGTTAAACTGAAAGTACAGTACAATCACCTAGATAAAAACTATAGACACCTTCTGTGTACTTCAGGAAAGGTCCTCAAGGCTGGAGAACGCTCTTTGAAAATGCAAAACCGCCACGACATTGAGCCAGCAGTTTGTGGAAGTTTGCTGCATTTTGCAGCTGACAGCATTGTTGTTGTTTCATTGTAACTGGTCCAGGAGCTGAGTAAAAAGTCGTGGCTGGCACTGACAAAAGCAAAAGTAATCTTTTGGCACAACTGGCTCTTTTCTGCCAGAGACAACAGCGCTAGTAATTCAGTGATCATCATAACAAGTCTTCCATCACTTTAGTTTCACGAGTGATGAAGGGCTGGGGAGGAGGTGGGGGAAGAAAAATACCGTACTGCAATGCAAAGTCTTTGGGAAAGTTTAAGACACAGTACATTATATAAACCCATTGAGGACATATATCAGTAGATAATGGTTATGCATAGTGTTTAGATACATGACTCCTAATCAGTAAAACACGTTACTCATTTAAAAATTTGAGACAGTGGGACGTAAGGACTTATGTTAAGGTTCTGCTAAATCAGCACATGTATAATGAAAACTTTTCCTATTTTAATTCTACCATTTGAATTATGCAAATAAATTGTTTAGAGAAACTGTTCCAAAACAAAATGTAATATTTTAACATGGGGAGGAAAACTAATTTCTAATTAGTTCCCAGAATTCTGTCCTCTAAAAAAGCCCCGTACAGTTAGCTAGAGCAGTCAGGAGTATCAATATGCTTCCTTTTTTCTGCCAGGTGTCTTTTTCCTCCTTTTCATGCAGCATTTTTTCTTTTCTTACAAGCCCCAAACTGGTTTGCATCTAGACCTACCCTTTAATCAGAATTTGCACACGAGGCACATGCATTCACACTCTAGAAGCTCCTTGAAAGCTACACAGAAGAATTTCATACGCTGCATACAAAGCACCAGCACTCTGACTTACTGTTGCTTGACATCTGCACTTGGAATGACACCCCTGCTGCCCTCAGTCCCCACCAACACAGCACAGGGCAAACGAGCCAAGAACTGGCTAGCCAACAACACTCAGCCAGGAAATCAGATACACGTCTACCACAGTGCTCAAGGAATCTGCTCTGCACGTACACTGATGTTTTTTCCACCCATGACAGATGAAAAACAACTAAATGCGGCAAGAGAAAGACCTAGACCAACTCTAGCAGGCTGGGCACAACAACACATCCTTTAATACAACCAAAGGTAGCTCTACATGAATGAGCCAGGAGCGTAAGACACACCTTCCAGACGGGAGGAGCGCCTGAAGTGGGGAACACACAGTAAGAAAGGGCACAGAAGTCATCTATGGTAATGAATTCAATAATGTCTCAAAGCAAAAGGGTAATCAAAAAGGTTCAAGCATCTTCCTGGGAAATGCAAAACTGAATGGAGGAACTAGGGGAATCATCACCTTCGCGTAACCCCTTCCTCAAGGAAACAGGGTGTCCAATTCCAGTATCCACTAATTCATCATGGGTGCTAAAGGGCACAGGAAAGCTGCGACAGTTAGCAGAGCACTGAAAAACATGCTGCCCAGGGAAAGACTGCAGTACCTCAACCTGTTTAAGCAATGCAAAGAAAGGGGGAAATTCAAGAATTGCGTATTATAAAGGTTTAATAGCACAGATACATGCAGTCAGTTGTACTCCCACTTCCTTCCTAGGCTTTGAGAATGGAAAGTAACTGAAATAACTCAGGAGTTGATTCCATAGTTCTCAATCAAAATCAGCCACTTCTATAGCTGATACACCACAGATGAACTAAGGAGGAATTTGGTAAGTTTAATCTTTGTTAGAGTGGACTCAGCTGGCAGCCTGTGGCTGGTCTGGCTCACACAGCACCTCCACCGCACTCCCGACCCCTGTCCCAGGGAGGACCGGCAGGACGCGGCCCCTGCCCTCGGCCAGCCGCGCAGACAGAGCACAGCCCAAATCCGGGACCCTGGCCAGGCTGCAGGAAAGGCGGAGTGTTCCTCGCTCACCTCGGGAAGATCGGGCCAAGCAGTCACGAGGACACTTTCTGGCTTTATGCACCGAATTCTAAAAAGGCTTTGCTTAATGTCACTTTTAAGATGGCCCTGTGAGTATTTCAAGCTCTGAAGAAACCTGTTGCCTGATTATTTCAACATATATATTCACTCTGAAGAAACAGGTCCAAACATTCTACTAATAAAAAAAATAATTGGATCTTACAATCAAACTGAAATTAAAGTTGTTGTTCTTGCTGGTATAAGACAAAGACGATCATATTTAAAACTTATTACAAGAGGCACAGGCTCCAATATTCGTGTAAACAAGATCATATACTTTATAGGGTTACCATCTGCTATGATGCTGATCAAATAAATGATTTGACCAAAAAAAATCACATTGTAGATTGTTATACTAGGTACTCAAGGTATGAGTTTCTATCTTTTATAGCTTCTTTATCCAATTTTGTTTCAGAGTAATGATATTCCTGCAGAAAAGATTCAACAACTGAAATCAATTGCAAAAAAAACCTAGAACACAAACCATAACAGCACTTACTGTATTTTGCATCTTAGACACCCAAACAAATCAATCTACCATTAGACCCTATATTGCAAATGTCTGTTGTGAGGTATGATACAAATTACTACCTAAAATTATGTTTTAGGTCTAGACTTCCTGGCAAGGAGATGCAAAGAGAAATATTTGATGGAGAAAAACTATCTCAATTAAAAATTTTAATTTCAATAGGCTAAGACTAGTTCTCAACCTCTTCTTGTGGATTCAGCCGGTCGAGGGAGGTGATTCTGCCCCTCTGCTCTGCTCTCATGAGACCCCACCTGGAGCACGGCATCCAGTTCTGGGCCCCGCAACGCAAGAAGGACGTCGAGTTGTTGGAGCAGGTCCAGAGGAGGCCACAAAGATGGTCAGAGGCTGGAGCACCTCCCGTACAAGGACAGGCTGAGAGAGTTGGGGTTGTTCAGCCTGGAGAAGAGAAGGCTCCGGGGAGACCTTAGAGCAGCTTCCAGTGCTGAAAGGGGGCTGCAGGAGAGATGGGGGGGGACTCTTGACCATAGAGTGTAGGGAGAGGACAACGGGTAATGGTTTTAATCTGGAAGAGGGTAGATTTAGATTAGATAGGAGGAAGAAATTATTTACTGTGAGGGCGGTGAGAAGCAGGTTTCCCAGAGAAGCTGTGGATGCCCCATCCCTGGAGGGGTTCAAGGCCAGGCTGGATGAGGCTTTGGGCAACCTGGGATGGAGGAGGGTGTCCCTGCCCATGGCAGGGGGGTTGGAGCTAAATGATCTCTAAGGTCCCTTCCAACCCAAACCATTCTGTGGTTCCAAATAGCAAGTATTTCTCATTTTATGGTAGATTTATTCTTTTAAATAACATAATAAAATCAGTTACACTCTTAACAAAGTACCTGAAATTTGCAAGTCAGATAAACAAGTAAAGACAAGATATAGTTACACACACACACTTATTACGGGGCGAGCAGGCAACACTCAAAACCAAAAGCAGCTTTGACAATACACGTGAAGTTGTGGGCTTAAAATATACAAAGCTAAGGGCATTAATCAAGTTGAGAAGAGAAATGAAACCC